ACTCTTGTGGGACACTCTTGTGGGACACTCTTGTGGGACACTCTTGTAGGAAGCTCATGTGGGACACTCTTGTAGGACACTCTTGTAGAACACTGTTGCGGGACACTCTTGTGGGACACTCTTACGGGACACTCTTGTTGCACACTCTTGTAGGACACTCTTGTGGGTCACTATTATGGGACACTCTTGTCGGACACTCTTGTGCGACACACTTGTGGGACACTCTTGTGGGACAGTCATACGGGACACTCTTGTGGGACACTCTTGTGAGGGACTCTTGTAGGAGACTCTTGTGGGACACTCTTGTAGGAAACTCTTGTGGGACACTCTTGTGGGACACTCCTGTAGGACACTCTTGTGGGATACTCTTGTGGGACACTCTTGTGGGACACTCTTGTAGGAAACTCTTGTGGGACACTCTTGTAGGACACTCTTGTGGGACACTCTTGTTGCACACTCTTGTAGGACACTCTTGTGGGTCACTATTATGGGACACTCTTGTCGGACACTCTTGTGCGACACACTTGTGGGACACTCTTGTGGGACAGTCATACGGGACACTCTTGTGGGACACTCTTGTGAGGGACTCTTGTGGGAGACTCTTGTGGGACTCTTGTAGGAAACTCTTGTGGGACACTCTTGTGGGACACTCCTGTGGGACACTCTTGTGGGATACTCTTGTGGGACACTCTTGTAGGACACTCTTGTGGGACACTCTTGTGGGACACTCTTATAGGACACTCTTGTAGGAAACTCTTGTGGGATACTCTTGTAGGACACTCTTATGGGACACTCTTGTAGGAAACTCTTGTGGGATACTCTTGTAGGACACTCTTGTGGGACACTCTTGTGGGACACTCTTATAGGACACTCTTGTAGGGCACTCTTGTGGGACTCTTGTGGGACACTCTTATAGGACACTCTTGTGGGACACTCTTAACTCTTGTGAGACACTCTTGTGGGACACGGTTGCGGGACACTCTTGTGGGACACTGTTGTGAGACACTCTTACGGGACACTCTTGTACGACACTCTTGTGGGACACTCTTGTAGGACACTCTTGTGGGACACTCTTACGGGACACTCTTGTTGCACACTCTAGTAGGACACTCTTGTGGGTCACTCTTATGGGACACTCTTGTCGGACACTCTTGTGGACACACTTGTGGGACACTCTTGTGGGACACTCTTGTGGGACACTCATACGGGACACTCTTGTGGGACACTGGGACACTCTTGTAGGAAACTCTTGTGGGGTACTCTTGTAGGACACTCTTCGTACGAGACTTCCTCCAAAAGTCACGCGTCAAGTCTCAAAAACGAGCGTTTTGTACGAGGCTTCCTCCAAAACTCACATGTCAAAGTCTGCCAAACGAGGATTTCGTACGAGACTTCCTCCAAAAGTCCAGCGGCAGCAGCCATCAGAGCATACACATCATGCAACCCTGCCAAGCAGTTTCGCGATTCCAGTCCCTCCAAACGACACCCGCTCAAACGCCAATCCCAATGTGACAGCGACATTCACCTCTACCACAACTCACAACCTCCCGATTCCCTGCACCGGCCACGCATCTTTCCGCGTCCACACGTCTAACGATTCTAACGCGCGCAAAGTACTGCGCCCGTCACGAAATGTCACCTCCGTCACACATCGCAACCTCACGATTCCCTGCGCCTGCCACGAAAATCCCACTTCCACACCTCAAAACCCGCACAAAGTCCTGCGCCTGCCACGAAAAGTAACAATGTCATCTCATGTGAGCTTCAACAAAATTTGCACCACACCACACGTTTGGAATGAATTCGACCCGTTCTGAGCACACTCCCACATTCCAAAAGCGGCATTTCAGCTGAGACGTGTCACGAAAACAGAGCTTCGATGCCACACCCTGAAAACGCAAATCCCAATGGCACGGCCACATCCAACACCCCAAAAACACGACTCTCCAAACGCTAATCCCAATGGAACTGCGTAGCAAATTGCGGATCTCACAAAACGCTGCGCCTGTGCAGCGAAATGCATCACGCTTCTTGCGCGACATGTCCTTTTCACGCAAATCACAATGGACTCGCGTCGCAACCTAACACGTGACACATCCATGCATAGTCACTTGCAAAAGCTTCCCCCAATGGCAGCGCCTTAGCGCTCTACTGCGGACGTCTGCGGACGGTTGCGGACGGTTGCGAACGGTTGCGAACATACGCATTCGGGAAAAAAGGCTGATATGATCTGATATGTTTGAATGCTAGGTCCTTGCATAGCTCATTGTTGCATACGCGCAGGCCTCACTTGTAGCTTCAAGAGTGTGCATGAGCCAATGTTTCACAACGCCAAGGCCGGCTCAATGTTTCCCTTTCAGTACTACCAGGACTATGCAGCAACGCAGTTGAAAAAGACTGGGCTGAGAAAAGGGATTATATAGGATCACTGTAGCAAAACTCCAAAGTGGCTCTGGTTCAAACCAGTGATGGAACAACAGCAAGGGTCAAGGTCCCATTGCTGCGAGTGACTTCGCCAGCAACAGCAAGCAAGAGCACCTCTGCCGAACTTGCACGTCAAGAATTGAATGTGTCCGGAAAGTACTAAGACTTCAAGATCTCCAAGTTCTAGTTCTATGTACAAGTACCCCGTGCAGACAGAGCTTGGCTGATCAGCCTTGTGTGTGCTGCTGTGGTCAAAAACCCAATGCAGGTTGCAGGGTCTAAGACCCGGAATCCAAATAGCATGTCAAGAATAGAATCCGCTTGGACCAAATCCACACATAACACCAAAACCTTTCATCTAAACTCAGGTCATGAGTGCACTTTGCATATATACAAACAGAACCACATAGCAATGCATAGCAGCATAGCCATACAAGGGAAACTTCCGTCTCGGCCTTTCTTCTGCCCAGCCGGTCGGACAAATACCCAAAGAGCGGCGTGTTAAACGCCTCAAACATCACATGCGCTGTGCTGCCTGTTGAGATGACTCTTACTATTCCCACTGAGTTTAGCTCGCTTTCCCAATACCTTCCAACAATATAACAACAAACCTAAAACAAATTGCAATTTGAGCCTGTGCAAAGGAGAAGGCGGTCAGCAGGCCTTGCGAGCTGGCATAGCATTACCCTTAGGCAACACTGTACACTGTAAACGAAGCACTGTACACTGTACACTGTAAACCATGGTCCTTCATATCAAACCCCCTTTTACGCCGGGAGTTAGTGTGACTTTTTGTTCCGCGCCTGCAATGTTCCGCGCTGTCATTCCGAAGGTTTTGGCTAGAACAGGAACAAAAGGAGCAAAAATGCCAAAGCCAAAGGCATCCTTAGAAATGCAAGCACAGCATAGAGCTTTCAAAAACGGCTGTCTTGTCTGACACACAGTGCTGCTTAAGAAACCATAAAGACAATGAAGTAGCAGGTGAAGAATGAAGCCTCGATTTGCTCATTCCAAAGAAACCACGGGCTGGTCTTAACAACACCGCGACCGCATGCAGCCTCAAGGGTAGCACGGAAAACTGCTGTTCATGGTAACAACGCTCCAACTGATCCTCGCCTCATCACTGTGGTTTTGTGAGCCTCCCCGCACAGGCTCACAGTAGCACAAGTCTGATCCATCTTTTCACACTACGCATTTCAGAATCCCTATTTCTCAAATTGCCCTTTGGGGGTTCCACTCCTTGTCCAGCTGAATCTGCGCTGCTACGCAAGAACCACAATGTCATTGCTACAGTGAGCCTCCGCTAGAAATGAACAGGGTGTGCCAGCAAGCCCAACAAGTGTTCAACCTGCTCAAGTCTTGTCCATCGAGACTCATTGAAAATAGAATAACATAGATTAGTTTCGATGTATTCCTTCCCGTTCTGCTGCCAAGACACAACAGCACAATGAAGGCAAGCTTGATATCTAAGTGATTACCAACCCACATAGTGGATATGTCCTCATCAATCCTGAAGTCAAGGTCTGGTCAGCAACTCGTGCTTGTGGAGTAGGAGCATGAGAGAACAAATTGACCATATATATGTAGAACATATGTTGGACGCACACGTTGTTTTGGAGATTCTACAAGTTAAATTAACAGTTAAATAGCAAGGTCCAATTAATGCACGTCCACTATATACGAGGGTTGCCTCCAGCTGAACTGCTGGGCGGCAGTCTCAAAACATTTCAAGACATACACACTATAGACTATAGAATTGTTTTCTCGGTGAAGAACAGGACTTGCCATGTTTGACGGCCATATTGATTCTTGTTGTTGTGAAGCTGCGTAGCAGTTTTTGATGCGTTAGAGAACCAAGCTGTGATTTGTGGTAGTCTGTGATATTGCAAGGCGTAGTGTAGGGATTTCTGATATCCCGTGCGGTGAAATGTGTGATGTAGAGTCGGTTTCTGTTCCGTTTGCACCATCCGTCTTGATGGCAGCGCGCCCCTTTACAGGATTAATTGAGCTCACAGGCTCAAGAAGAGAGCACTTTGAACCAAAGGGGCCTGAAATGTAACGGGGCGGTTTGTGATGTAGCACGATGCAATGCAGTGTGGTGATTTGTGATGTAAGAGTGTAGCGTGATGATTGTGATGCGGCGAAATGTAGTAGTAGTAGTAGTAGTAGTCGTAGTCGTAGTCGTAGTAGTAGTAGTAGTGCCCGGTTTGATTTGATGTGGCAAGGTGTAGGCTGAATTGTAGTGTGGCGTCACTTTTTTGATCCTGCTCCCGAAAAATTTCTTTTCGATACGTTTCTTTTTGAGATTTCGTGCAGCTCTCTTCTTGCTGGTACTTGTCTCTACAAACCTACACTTCTCAATTGTGTTCTCCGCTGTACCTGAGGAGTTTCTCTCTAGAAACCTCGTCTACTCGAAGACTTGTCGATACTTTTCTCTGGAAATCTCGACTTGTGCTTGCCGGCTTGCCTGGCTCTGGAAACTATAGTCTGTCTAGAAATCTTGAGTGATTGAATTATGTTTTTTGTTATGCTTTACCTTCCAATAGGACTGCTCCTACTTTGAGCTTTCCATCTTGTCTCTAGCAATCTCCAAGTCTCGATACTTGCCTCTCGGAGACGTTTTGATTCTGTTCTCTACTAAGAAGAAATGATTTTAAAAAATGTGTACCACTAAAGCAAGAAAAACATGTACTTTTGGAATCTGTTGGACGCGTTTCTCTAGAAGGCTGTACTCTTCGATACGACTTCCCTTTCTCGACAACTGCGCGTCGAAGCAAGCAAATGAGCTCGCGCAGCTGCTTGCGGCCGCGTGTCAAATCTGCTTCATGTCTTGTTCTGCCCACACAGAGGTAACCATGTCAAAACAAAAACCTGCGCTTCCTGGCAATTGAGGGGTTCGGTGTCATTTTGCCCGGATTTTTCCTCTGCACAGGGGGGGGTTTGGATGGAATCCGATGTTTCAGGCCGTAGCCAAATCTATCCACATTGACATCATTTGGTGTCTACCAGGACCTTCAAAGTGACCGTCCGAGATCCCAGAATGAGGTCACTTAGTCACTTAGTCCCGAATGAGGTCACTTGGAGACTCCAAAGAGGTCATTCTGAAGGTCCTGGTGTTTCATTCCACTTCCAGTAAGACTAAGATCCTTTGTTTCTGGTGGCTATGCGCAAGCGACTCATGCTCTTCAAGGAGTGCTGTAAGTGAAGTATCGGAGTGCTCTTCTGAAGCTAGCCTGGGTCCGTATAAATACTATGTTGCTATACCTCTTACACACCTACACAAGTTCAAAGCACGAATGAGACTTCAAAGCTGTGGATTGCTGTGCGTGTGTAGAGGCTATCGAGCGGTTGACGGAAAGGGAACTTGAAGTACTATACCTGGTAGCTGCACTATAGCTACCCTGGGTCTCTATACCTAGCAAGGTGCCAACTACACCTTTATTTTCAAGATGGCCTGAACAGAGTGTTTTAGGGCAGCAAACCGTGGTCTCAGGCCACCTTGAATTCAGCTTGAAAACCACAGCTACACAGCTACCCTGGGTCTCTATACCTGGCAAGGTGCCAACTACACCTTTATTTTCAAGGTGGCCTGAACCTGGTCTCAGGCCACCTTGAATTTAGCTTGAAAACCACAGCTTTGA